AGACAGACAAAGAATTTCCCCCATGCAGTTTCCTAGCCTGTAATCTTTATGGGAGCAGATGCCAGGTCTTTTCGCCAACAGAATAATGTCTGGGTGGGTTCAAACCGCTCGCACGGCAAATGCTTAACCAGGCACGTTAAATATAGATATAAGCATGGTTAAAGTATAATAAAATGAACCTCCATGTATCAGCACGCAATCCCAAAATGAAGTGTCACCAATGCCAATCAATATATGTGAAGTCTTGTGTGTCCTGCTGATTGACTCTCCCTCTCCCTTCACCTTTGATGTGACCCGCATCTTAAGTTTTACTTTCCATTCTCTTGGTTTTCCTTGGGATTTTACCACATAATTTTTGTGTTAAATTTTATAAGTGTTTTACTTTATGTAAGTAGAATTATGTTGCCTGTATATTTCTATGACAGTGCTTTTTCCATTCAGTATTATGTTTGAGATTCGCATGATTTAATCCACGCTAGATGAAGCTGTGTACTCCTGTAACTATTTAGGTCTTGGAAAGCCGCAGGGCAGGTCTCCTCAGCCCTGTAGGGACGCTTCAGGTGGGAACTGACATGATGACAGTGAGTGAGTGCACTTAGGGTTTTCATCACAGTTCTCCTAAAATGAAATTTCCATGGCATGAAAGTTAACCCTTTTAAGATAGAAAATCATTGGGTTTTCCTGTATTCACAGAGGCTTATTTCTTTTGTAACTGCGCACGGTGCTTCATTGAAAGGACTTGATGCAGTCTCTTTATCCATTCTCCTGCCCAAAGATAGTTAGCTTGTTTTCTGTTTGGGGCTACCACAAACAGTGCGGCTATCCATGAAGAGCCTTGTAAGGGTTTGCTTGTACAAGGATTCTGTATGGTAACCCTAGGAGTAATATTATTGGATGAGAGCTTCAACCTTTCTAAGGTGGATCCCAACATATTTTCCAAAGCAGTTGTATCAGTTTATTTTTCTCCTAATGTTCATAGCAGTAGTTGAATGTTTCTTTCCTGATGAGGACCAGATGTATCTTGTGAATGATCCCTGCTTTATTTTTGTAGGACTCTGCTGCTATTTGAACACAGTGATATTGTTGTAATTTCCCTGCTCAGTGTTCTGTTCACTAGTTCTGGAGGAGGACCAGCAAAGGTATAATTTTCCTTTATTAATAACTTGCAAATTTTAAATGCATTAAAACTATGTATTTAAAACATTTTTCTACACCACTTAATGCTGGAGTTTTTATGTGTGTTTGTTTATGCTATCTAAAAAATTTCTTAACAACTATCATTTTCTTTTGAAATGGTTATAGATTCCTAGAAAGTTGCAAAATCAGTACAGAGAAGTTCAAAATTAGAACAAAGGTTTCTGGGAGTCAATATTCCCCAATGGTAACATTTTAACCAACTCAAACACAATATTGAAATCAAGAAATTGACGGTGACACCATTAGTATAATAAACCTTGTTCAGGTCCCACTCATTGAGTGTGGGTGTTTGTCTTTCTGTGGCATTTAGTCACACGTGCAGATTAATGTGATTACTACCACAATCAAGACACAGAACTGATATTTGCCCACTGAGTTGAGCTTATAAGATAAACATTGGGCTGGAGACTGAAAGGTTGACCGTTCACACACACCAGTTGCTCCAAAGGAGAAAGATAAGGCTAATTTATAGCCTCAGAAACCTGTACAGGGTTGCTGTGTGTCCAAATCAACTTGATGACAGTGGATCTTTTACATAAGAGCCTCATTGACACTGGGTTAAGCATTGGGCTGCTAGCCTAAAGGTTGGTCACCACTCCATGGAAGAAAGCTATCTGCTCTCATAACCGTCTACAGTCTCAGAAACCCTATGAGTCAATTGACTTGATAACAGTGAGCTTGGCATGTTTTGTTTTTCTTTTACTTGTTTGTTTGTTTGTGCATATGGATCCCTGGTGGTGCAAATGGCTGAGTGCTCAGCTGCTAACTGCCTCCACTCGGGAAAGCCCTAGCTGACTGCTTCCATAAGGACGGCAGCCAGCAAACCCTGAGAGTTTGTCGCATGGACTCATCCTGATTCAAAGTTGGCTTGAAGGGACCTAACAACATGGACGTTGGCAGTACATTGCCACAGACAAAAGGGAAACTAAATTTAGGGACGAGGCTTAGCCCAATTGTGAAAGCAG